TCATTGCTCTTAGTTTGGAGGCCGCTAGTAGGTTGGAGGCCATCGCTATTAGGTTCCTTTTGCTTGGAGGTTTTCCGCGTTGCCCCAAGGCAGGGAGGCTCCCCGCTGGTGGTCTTTGCTGGAAAGGAACCCTCTCTGTGGGAGACGAGACTTGAGACACCTGACCGGTTACTACTAGTAAGGCACTTGTTCCTAAGGTTTCTTGTTACTACTAGTAAGGCACTTGTTACTACTAGTAAGGCACTTGTTCCTAGTAGCTTCTTGTTACTACTAGTAAGGCACCTGTTACTACTAGCGATGCACCTGTTACTAGAAGCTTATTGTTACTAGAAGACCGGTTTTCGAGAAAACGGTTTTTGCTTTGGAGGACCGGATGCGAAGCAAAGGCGCAGACGTGCACAGCGACATGAGAGATCATGAGAGTGTGTTTGAGAATAACACATGGGGTTGAGTCCATAGCCGAGTCCATATCTGTTGGATACTCCGGTGGATGGTTTGCAGGGGGCTCGAAGTGGGACTCGTTTGCATTTGCGGTGCTGGTGGAAGGTTCTAAAACTCCCAAGCGCAAGACCACAAAGAAGGAGGCTGAATCACCAGCATCTCGACTGAAATAGTTTACATGTGTTTGCGCCATACACATCACAATGCGTGGGGTGCATACACAGCCAACTCAAGGCTGCTTTGTTTGCCTCACGATTCAATCGCAGCCACTTTGCATCAAGTTGCACCAAGCTCCGCATTCCGAGACGCTCAACACTCCCATGGCACGACTCCTCGTGCTGTTGCTTCTTGGACTTGGACTTGCTCAGGAGGCGCAGCCGGAGGCGCAGCCAGCACCCGCACAGCCAGCTGAGACGCCAGCCGCACCGGTGGCTCCGGTGGCAGCTGCACCCGTTGCACCGCCTCCGGCAGCGCCTGTGGCAGCGCCTGTGGCAGCGCCTGTGGCACCAGCGGCACCGGTGGAGCTTCCCGAGGCACCAGCGGATTTGGAAGGTGACGATCTGATTTCGCGGCTCGGACGGGAGGGAAGTTCCAACCGAAACGGGGCCTTGCGTAACTAAGACGGCCCCTGGCCCTGTGTCGTTGCTTGGTTCCAAGGTTCTATCGTGAAGCTCACCTGGAGAGCCTGGCTAGTGCAGTGCCCAAGCATTCAAACAGCATGTGTTGGTTCTATGATGTTCCATGGGACGTTTGTTTTGTTTGCCTTTTCTGACCTTTTCTGATTCTCATATGGTTTCCTTGTTTTTTTTGTCGTAATTAGTTGTGCACATTCCCCACGCACTGGCCAGAATATCATCGGGAGAAAGGGTGCCTGGCTGTATGGTGACTACATCAATGGAGTGCCAAATGTGAGTGATGCCGTTGCTTGCGCAACTACCTGTGAGAAGGACGAGAAGTGTTACCACTGGAACTTTCAGGCCTGGCCAAATGGGATGGAATCAGATGGAATCAGCAGGTCCAGCCAGAACAGATGACATGTGACTTATTCCGCCATTGTTGCACACATATGAATACATAAGACCCCCTTGATGGAATCAAACACCCCGATGTCGCAGGTCGTCAGCAAGCGCTGCGACCTGAAGGCCATGAACGGTGGAATCAACCAAGACATCAGTGATTGGATCACCGGCCATGCGACACGATACTTGAATCCTCCTCCCATCATGCCTTGAGACGTGAGATTAGCAGGCTGCGTCCTTTCTGTCAAAAAGCTGTTGGCAATGTCCATAGCTATACAAGACGCATGGAGCACTTGGATTGCTCGTCTCTGAATTCACCAGCCGACAACCGGCACCAACTTGACCAACTGCACTGACTGGAGTAACTTGAGACTGGCTCGCGATGTGCACGGCCGTGACATGGTGTTTTGATGTTCACCCTTTGCAACTTGTAGCGCCGCGCCATTGTCATGCAAGGTTCGGAAGGAGGCTCGCAGGGCATGTTGCTTGTTGACATTCATGGCTGCATCAGTCGTTTGAATTGTGCAAGGACACGTGAAACGGCTGGGCTAACGTGGCTAACTTCTGTGTTTTGCACAGGGTACCTCGGTTGCGGACACGACACACAAACAATGCCGTGCCCAGGGTTTCTTGGCGGATCCCTTGATACAGAAGCCACTCGATGGAGATTCGCATTTCAGAGTTGTTCACGGAACAGGTTGACATGTCAAAATTTGGGAAACGACATTCGGCATTCGCATGCATTCGCTGAGGTTGGAGAAAGAGCCACTTTGAAAGCAAGATGTGAGAAAGAAAAGTAGAAAAAATAAAGCAGCGTCAAAAAGTTCCCCCTTGCAGAAATCTTGCAGATGTTTGTCCGATAATTTGTAGAGATGGGGCTGCATGGTTTCCTTGTTGACAGTAAAACACTTGCACTTGCACCTGTGAGCTACTTAAGGTTTGCACACCAACCATCCCTCCGGGAGAAATCGCCGATGTCCAGGCCAGCAGGTTCTCAACTGCGATGCCTCACCGTGCAGCGCGGTCCCGCTTTCCGAGGCGGGAGTTCTCCACATCGACCAGTATGCCGGGGGATGCTGAAGGACGGGACTGAGACGAGAACGACGACGGTCGGTGCCGGGCGGTGCCGAAACGCGAGGATTGCATGAAGACTCCTTGATGACCTTTTCTTCGGTGCTGTCCGGAGAAAAGTGCTCCAAGCACGAAAAAGTATGAAACAGTAGCAAGTAGTGTTTGGTTACTGCCTGTGTTATCGAGTCATTGGAAAAAGCGATCTTTCTCGAGGTACAGCTACCTCAGCGAGAATGCAATTGCAGCAGCTGTTGGTCTTGTTCCCAGTCTAGAGGCGCTGTGTGACATATGTTTCCCTCCCAAGATCTTCAAGTGTGTTGGTCTCAGATGTTCCCTGGTCCCTTAATTGCAAAAAACAAGTTTGTTTGTGAGAATGCTTCGAAGAGCTTAAAGAGACGGAAGCAGAGAGGGGCGATTCTTTTCGACGCCTCAGCTGAGTCGAGGTGATGATCCACGTGCCAGGCGGTCGGACGCGTCCGTACGCATCACGCGTCGTGACGCGGCGTCACGGCCAGGAGGGTGGAGGCTTCCAGACCACCTTTGCCCAAACTGGTGGACGTGAGGAAGAACGGGCCAGGCCGGTCTCAAGTGTTGATCAAGTGCCTCAATGCACTGATTTTTTTGGTATGGAGGTGATGCTGCAGCGGCTCAGTATGTAGGCAAAGGCTGCAAGGCCAGATGTGTTTGGACTGAGCACCGTGTACGCTGGACATATGCGTGATTCTGTTGGAGACAGTACTGTCCATGAGTTGGCACTTTGCGGTGATTTAGCGAGACATCCTAGGGTGCTAGAGGTGAATAGATCCTAAATAGATCCTTTCGGAGGACCAAGGCAAGCAGGCATTTCTATACGGTAAGAATATACGTTGCATTGCGTTGCAATTGAAACTCTATATATGTACCTCAGGAGCCGTCGCAAGTGAACGAAGGTTCCTTATCACAGAATTCTTTGCTCAGACTTCCTCAGGCGGTGGTTTCTGCTGCGATGGTGCAAGCAGCGCGCATGCAACCACCAGGATACAAGCCACCAAGGCACGAAAGTACCAAACATCTCTTGTGTGTTTTGTGTAAACTTTTCTTCAGTGGAAAGTGCAGGAAGAATCCTGACGTTAAGCTTGGTCCAAGTATTGGCGGTTAAAGCTTAAAACGGTTACGCTGTGTGCTTGGACTTCAACAGCATGGTTTCGCCAGGTCTAAGTTGGCCAAGCCCAAAGCGGCTCCAAAAAAGGGAGGGCAAGCAGTCGAGGTTGAGACAGACTCTCCGTCGAAGGCTTAACCATCAGTCACATCGGGTTGGTAGATGGTGGCAGATTGCATGATGTCAAGGATGGCAGTGACCCGCATGTAGTAGAGCTGCCCCCAAGGATCTTGCAAGACTCGCCTGACACGAGCAGATGTCCAACAGTACAATTCATGGAGGCGAGTGACCAACAGCTGCTGGGTTTGGAATAGCTTCCAGTTCCGAGCGTGTGCTTCTCCCGCAGGAGGAAAAAGAAATTGATGCACAGCATGGACAGCAGGGGTCACCGCTGTGTTCATGGTCACTCCGAACTGAGTTCGTTAAGCTACTGTTCAAGGTCATCCTGGAGAAAAGACTTTTGGACCAGCAAAGTTCTCTCTCTCTCTCTCTTTCGCCTCTTCAGTAACTGCAATCAATCACTCATGGCTGCCTTTGTTCTAGACCATTTTGCAAAAGTTGTAGAGGGCATAGTGATGGCTTTGTACTCAACATCTTGCAGGCCCAGGTGGGTCTGCATTTATTTGCTCCCGTTTCTATTCACCCAAACTCCAAACATTCAAAAGTCTGAAGTCTGAAGATCACAGACTGCAAGGACCCACTATGCCGGTGATTCGTGTACAAACTGCCGGCAAGAGTTGTGACCTTGGAGCTGCCACGAAATTCTGACTGACGAATTTTGAGCACGTCAGCCATCACCAGCCCCAAGGCAGCACTGGCCCAGAAAGTGGGCCCGCTTCTCCCTCGTCTTCAGGCAGGGAACCTCAAGAATCTAGAAGTTCAATTTGGATTCCGAGCTGTAGCTGTTGCATGTTCCCGAATGCGTAGCGAAGGGTTCTCGTTTAACTCTTGGGGGGGTTGGGTGTAGACTCAGTGTAGACTCTTGTTCGCGACTCGTTGTCAGAGCGTTCGCAACCGTTCGCGGTAGGGCGCTATGGCGCTGACATCGGGCAAAGCTTTTGGAGAGGGTTTTGGATGACGTGTCAGATTCGTGTGAAATAGCGAGGGCACGTGTGCAAGCGCGAGAGGATGAAGTGTGGAGAATTCACTGCACAGGCACAGGGTCTTGCAAGATTCTCAGTTTTCTTCGCGGTGGATGGGAGTGTGCTCGGAACGTGCCGAAATCATTCCAAGCGTGTGGTGCCGCGCAACTTTTGCTGAAGACATGAAGATGTCATGTCGTCACTTTTCGTGGCAGGCGTAGGGAATCGTGAAGTTGCGATGTTTGGTGCAGGTGAGTGTCACCGTGCCATTGGGATTCGCGTGTCGGCGGCTGTGGCTTTGAGGGGCTGGGAATGCGAAACTACTTGGCATGGCTGCAGAATGTGTTTTTTTTTGAGGAGACTTCCCGGAAGTCTCGGACAAAGCACTCGTTTTGGAGACTTTGATGCGTGACTTTTGGAGGAAGTCTCGTACGAATCGTTTTGGATGCCAAGAGTGTCCTACAAGAACCTCATAGAACCTCCCTGAAAAGTGCACAAGAATGTCCCAGAGGACAGAAGAGTATAGTGCCCCGCAAAAGTGTCCCACAAGACCGTGCCACACAGAGTCAAGAGTGTCCCACACCAGTTTGCACAAGAGCATCCCACAAGAGTGTCCCACGAGAGCGTCCCGCAAGAGAGTGCCCAGAACAGTTTTCCACAAGAGTGTCTTACAAGAGTGTCCTACAAAAGTGTCCCACAAGAGTGTCCCACAAGAGCTTTCCACAAGTGCATCCCACAAGAACGTCCCACGAGAGCGTCCCGCAAGAACGTTCCATGACAAGAGTGCCGCACGAGAGTGCCAGAACAGTTTTCCACAAGAGTGTCCTACAGGAGTGGCCCACAAGCGTGTCGCACGACAGTGTCACACAAGAGTGTCCTACAAGAGTGTCACAGAAAAGCACCGCATACAGGAGGGTCGTACCAGAGCGTCGCACAAGAGTGTCAAAGTTTTCGAGTGCCTGCTTGCACTCGGGTTCGTGGGTTCCCTGTGGTTTTTCAGCTGGTCTATTTTTATCAATAGTTGTATGTATTTATGATTTGTTGAATATGTGAATGTGTTCGCATATGCACATATGCAATAGTATTTGTCTAAAAAATCGAACCGAAGTCCTCCGATTCTTTCGCCACTTGCCCTAGCCAGCCAAGGCTGGAGCCATGGCAGTGTGGCAGATCCCGGCGAGTTGGGCGGAGGGCGCTCCTCCCGATCGGCAGGCTCAGCGGCTTTGTTGCGCTCCAAAGTGCATAGTCATCCTGAAAACACTTGTAACTGTAGGATGCTCAGATCAGAACTGTTGAGTGATATGTGAACTCCCATTGGTGAGAAGGAGGACGAGTTGACTTGGGTGCTCTCACAGTGCAAAGTGTTCGCAATTGCAGGCTCCGTTTTGACCACCCGCCCGAAGCAGTGCCAACCCTTGCCACTTGGATCTGGCAAAAAGGTGACAATCCATGATAGAACGACAAAAGAAATTAATTCTGAAATCAAATGATTTGTAAATTTATCGTCCTTCGTATATTGTGTTTTTCCCTCGCCTTTACCTCGGGAGTTGGAGCATAACGCAGTTTCTTAATGTATCCGACCAAGGCTCTCAGCCAGAGCCAAAAAGTATTTCAACGGTTGCTTGGCATTGATGCATATCATATGGCGCATGACGAAACGTTTGTTTCGTGCCTTTCTGGGTCAGCCATTGAGTCTTCTCTTCGTGGTCTCATGGGCCGGTGGCTGTTCCGGTCATCCGTCAGTCCTTCCAGGTGGATGGCACCGCTGACGCAGGCGGACATCCCCCCTTTTCCGTGGTGCGGGGCAGTTGCGCCTGAGACGGCCCCCCCCCTTTCGGGGGGGTGACCGTTTTGTCCATAAGATGGGTGAAGATCACCTCCCTCGGCATCCCGATCGGGTGCAAAAACTCGGCGCCTGAAGGATGATAAAAGGCATGTCAAGGGTGATTGTTTTGGAGGCCGGAGCTGATTGCGCCAAGCCGTTCAGTGCTAATTACATCTAGTTACATCTAGCTAGTGTACTAGATGTTGCTCTTAGCACCTTCAGTTGCACAGTGGACGGCAATTCCTAGAAGGATCTAGAAGGGTATTGGTAGTATATCGAGTGACTCGACTCGAAGAGTGTTCAATGAGGATAGCGGAGTATGGCGTTCAAGCCGACACGCTGCCACCACCCTGGACAAAGCATCTGGATTGTGGAACTGGCTGCGCAACTTGGCAATTATTTTGTGGAGTTGATTAGTATTACAGGAGAACAGTCTTTGATGTACTGTAAACGCAAATAGGCTTGACAGCTCAATGTAACGTAGTAATCCACACGTTGGATATCGAATTTGATCCAACTTGCACCCAAAACATGCGAGCAGCCGCAGGTCTACTACGTCGACAGTGAATCCCAGGCGTGGAAAGACCTGTGGGCTTTGATTACAAGCACAACTGTATCTTTAGCATCGCTATTAGGAGCAAGGGCCTTACTAGTGTTGCGGTACATCGGCAACGCGGCGGTCTCCGGAAGGTCTCAACATGGGATTCGCCACTGCTGCCATGCCTGCAGCGCGTGCTAGATATTGGTCGTGGATATTTGGAACGCCCTTCAGAGGATGTCGTGTGAAAAGAGAAGATGATGTTTGTGTTGCTGTATTGCTGGAGATGGGTGGCGCTTTGTGCATGTTGAGGTTCTCACTGTTTGTTTTAAACCTTTTCCTTGGCCTTCAGTCGGCTAGGACTACTTTGAAGAGGCCAAAATGCAGTTGTGGAGCCGGCTTAAGGCAGCCAGCCTTGCCGGAATCTTCGTGTCAAGAAGACAACAACATGTCCAAGATTGGTAAGTCAGTATCGATTCTGAAACAGAAAATCAGAAAGAACTGGCTGAAGTTTCGCCAATGTACTGAATCTACGCACTGCTGTGCAAGACGGAGAATTTGAGAGCCAGAAGTCGCAGGCCGACTTAAACTGCTGGCATGGCCCTTTGGAGAGCTCGAATCTCAGACAGAGTGAGAAACAGAAGGATAGGACATGATAGGAAATTGCACTCGTGGCATGATAGGGCAGCTGAAGACAGAAGTACAGAGTGTGTTTTCAAATTGCTCTCCTTAAGTCAAAGCCTTTTTGGCTTCAGATGATGTAGTGTTAGGGCAAGTCCAGGAAGGAATCGGAGACTGGAGAGCTGAGGCCCAGAAGGCCAGCCTTACTTTGCCAATTCACACACTGGCCAGTCATCTTGGCGGGATCCACGGGCAAGGCACCCCAGGAACAGTGGAGCGAGCTCAATAATCCACAGCAATTTGGAGAAAACAAATAAGAAAACAAAACGCATGTTGATAATATACTGAATCTGATGTTCATGATTCGAGATAAGTTTTCTCCATGAGTGTCCAGATCATTCGATGTTTCGTGAGGTTTGAGCGGCCGACCTAGGTGGATACTCAGTTTCTTTTCGATTTGGAGGGAGGCTTGCTGGATAGCTTGGCAGAGTCGCTGCCACTTCCGGAAGACCTCGAGGCAGGTCCTTGACGGCCCTGACGGAGACAACAACTGCCCACTCGTCCTTGGAACTCGCAACATGTTCAAGGGCTTTTTCCAGTCCGAAGTGCTCGAGCCGTCTCCCTTGAAATGCATGTCTTTATTTTTTGTTCGTCCGCTTGTTTTTGTTCTCTGTGCCTTTTGTGGCTCAAAGCTCGCTCCCCCTTATGGCCCTGTGGTGTTGCTGTGTGGAGGTCAAACGGCCCGAAAAGATTCAGCGCGGCCATGCTCCGCGGCCGATGAAACGCCCCAGCACCGGCGGAGCGCATGTGAACATCGGCATCGCCGCCCTGGAGACGCCCAAGGCGAGCTCCGGCGATGGCGGCACCGGCAATGACCCACCTTCCATGGTGTGCTCTGAGGGAGGTGGAAGCGGAGGTGGAGGTGGAGTTGGTGGAGCTGAGAGTGCAGGTGAGTTGATGCCTTTCAAGAGGCAGAAGACTAGAGATGCTGGCCATGCATTACAACGGCGGAAGACCGCTGCAATGGAAGACTACTTGCAAGCCCTGCCGGAAGAAGAGGCCCGGGACGATGCTGAACCTTCCAAAGGTCTGGAAATCACGACGGATAATATTGCGGTAAATCTCCGTGTGACACGGGGGCCTGACTGGACTTGGGGAGAAGAAGATGGTGACAAAACTGGTGTGGTGCTGTCCTTTGACAAGGCTAAAGGCTTGGCACATGTCCTTTGGGAAGGAGGGCAAGCACACAAGCACTATCGCTTTGGGCAGGGGAAAAGTGATTTGGCGATATGTACTAGTTCAGGAACCTCAGCGCTTGGTAGACGGAATTCGCAGCTATTCTTCGCAAGCAAAAGCCAGACCCTGTTGATTTTTGACTGGGATGACACGCTCTTCCCCACGACCTACGAAGCTTCGCTTAAGCTTGTCAGATGTTTTGAAGGATTTTTGGTGCTGAAGGGTCGTGGCCAAAGAAAGTGAAATAAAAGGTAAAAAGGGGCAAGCTGAACTCTGAAAAGCAAGCTGAGGTCCGAGATGATTTGAAGCTGGTGTGGAACAAACCATTGAAAGATCAAGATTTGAGCTCGGCAGAGAAGACGACCATTAGCAAAAAGCTAGAGCTTTGTTCTTCTCATGTGGTGGAGCTCCTTAAGGGAGCTGACCGTTGTGGCCGCTTGAAGTCAGTGTTTTCGTGTGCTATCCTCCAATGGACGCATATTCATTCAAGTAGGCTGTAGGAAATTGTTCAAGCTCTGGTTTTCTGTGAAAAAGTCACCGCACTTGGCATGCCCCTCAAAACCATGGCTGCACGCAACGAAGGCAAGGTGGTCTTGCTCACTTTAGCGCGGGCACCTTGGGTCTCCGAGTCCTGCAAGAATTTTTATCCATCCGTGGGACGCCTCATCACGCAGCTCAAGATCCCCATCGTCTATGCCCAAGAGGGTATCCAGGCAAGGCACAGTTGGTGGTGCAGCAAATGCGACAGCAACTAAGATAGGAATATAATGTATTTATAATTTGCATGACGTTTGGATGTCCGCGGGGTTTTTCATGGAAAGAACAACCATGAACAACCCATCCGCCCTTAATTGCCAAGCCCGACAGGTCGACTACAATAAAGAAAAAATGTCGACCGATGAGGAGATCGAACGCTTTTGGAGCTCCGTGAAGGGCAAGGCCATCGCACGAGAGTGCAACAAATTCTATTCTCAATATGAAGGGTGTCTCGGTGCACGTCAGCTCTATGCGGAGGTCTTTTCATTCGGGTAGGCCGATAGGACGCAGGTGTGCCAACATCACGCGTTGTTTTTTGCAGAAAGGGTTATGCTTCATGAAGAACTCGTGCAAGATTGATCTTTTCAGCAAAACATCGACCTAAGGCAGAGTTGGAAGAATGTGATTTCAATCGGAGATTCAGACTTCGAGCGCTTGGGTACACAACATGCCATGGAGAACTACATGCGTGAAACTGGAATCCACAGCGATGGGAAGTTAGTCGATGTGAACGGCCATCTCTACAAGGTTAGAACGAAGACCTTCAAAATGCTGGATGAGCCAACAGTGGAGGTCATTGGAAATGCATCATGAGACAGATTTTCTATGTGATGGTGGCTGCAGGTAGATAGATAGACAGCATTGGAAAGCCACCTCGTGTGTCAGGGCGTTTTGATGTTTTCCTCTATTTCGAGACCTCCATATATATTTGCTGTATGTGTCGGATTGGGTTGCTTCTGAAATTCTATTCTTTGGGTTTCTGTTTTGTGCTATTTTGTGCTCAAGTGTGCTAAGCATCCATTGCTCCATGCTGCTCCTTTGTGTGCGATTCCCCCGCATTGAAACCAACACTTGAGGAGTTGACGGTAGAAGTGGATATGCTCAAGGCATGGCTACCATTAATGGTAAAACTGGACAGCAGTTTTGATGTGAACCTGACGCTTGGAGATGAGCAGTCTTGAGCTTTTCATAGTTTATCATGATTCTGGTCAAATGCACCGACAGGCGCATGCCGAAGCTGACTTTGTTTTTCCTTTTGCTTCAGGGTCTTCAGTTGGTCGGCTGACTTTGTCCCAGTGTGCCTTTTGGTGACGAGGAACAACGCGGACGACCCGGAGGTCCTCAAGTCGATCGACACAACGCTTCGTGGCCAGTGACGTGGGCAAAGATCCCGAGATCCATTCGCGTGGCTAGAGACTTGCGGAAAAGTGATCATAGGATCTCAAAAAAACATAAAAAAACAAGGAGGAATGACCGGCGGGTCGTTACGGGACAAGAACTAAGGAGTTTAATTGAATTTAATTGTATGCATCTACCCCCTTGCGGTGCCTGACCCACCCCACAGGGGTCAAATTTGTAACTGGCAATTTTTTGTTTTGCGATGAATGCAATAATATAGCCCTAGGGGGAGTGAAAATTGTTAGATCTAAGGTTGAGATAGCCTATATTAGGATCTTACTTAAAACCCCCTTAAAGAGGTCTTGGCCGCTGGCCTACTTTTTGAGACTTTGAAAGCAGGGGGCCGGGGGGGGCTCAAAATTGTAAGAACGGACGGGCAGGTACCCCCCCCAGAGCACGCCACAATTTCACTCCCCCTGTGTCGGCTTTGCTTTTGTGACTTCGAATCAGGTCAGATGGGAAATTGTAAGTTACAATTTTGAGGGTGGGGGCATGCATCCCCTGAACCTCAAAAATGTAACTTACAATTTTGACTCCTGTCTTGTCAGATGTAGGTATTTTAGACCTGTGTGTTCAAAAATAACCGTTTTCCCAAACCTGCACTTTGACACACCCAAAATTGTAAGTTACATGTTTGATGGTAAGGTAGTAGTGATTTGTATGCAGTACTCGTATGTGATTTGAGCAGCTGCCTGTCAACGCCACGGTGCTAAGTGTCAGGCATGCCCGCTCCACGTTTGCTGCGCCAGGTGCCTTGCTTTGGCAGCAAGGAATTGCGAGCTGTGGGGCCCCCAGACGAGATCGACTCAATGGACCGAAACGGACCGAAAGCGAAACGACGAAGCCTGGAAGAACGTGTTGGCATCCCCTTATTAGTAGCATCCCCTTGTTACTAGTAGTTTCGTGCTACTATTAGTAATGACCTCCAACCTAATAGTGATGGCCTCCACCCTAGTAGCGATGGCCTCCAATCTAGTAGCTTCTTGCTACTAGTAATGCATATGTGAAGGAAAGTCTGAAGGAAGGTAGAAACCAGCTCATTTCTTGTCCCATCTTGTTGCTTGACTTCATTTACACATGTTGAACACTACAACATGCCGCAGCCTTCGGCAAAGCAAGTGCTGAAAGCATGGCACATCGGGTGAGGAAGACATGGCTATTGGCACTGGTGGCGGCCGCTTTGTGCCACTCAGCGCTTGTTCCGCTCTTTGTTCCCCCAGCGCGGGGACATGTCAACTTTGAAAGCCCCACGAAGACATCGTCCATCTTACCTGCTGTACCAGCGATGGCCATGTTGACACCATTGGCTGCATGGGCAGATTCTGATGGCGATTGGTTTGAGCCCTTCGTGAGCTTGAACGCTCAGATCATCGAAGGCATTGACGGTGTCATCGGCTCTGCGGGATTTGCTATTGTGTTATACACGATTCTGATCAAGGTGGTGACAGCCCCCCTTGCAGCAGCCAGCCTTGAGGACCTCAGCCTTGATGCAATTGCTCTCTCCTCAGACTGATGAGATTGAAAGGAAATACCCCTTGGATGAGGAGGGTCGGGGACGCACCTTGCGGGAACTCTACGGTAAAGTGGGTTTGAACCCTTTCGCTGCGTTCCTGCCGATTCTGGTGCAGCTTCCGATCTTCGTGGCGCTCTTTCGGGCCATTGGTAAGCTGGCATCCCAAGATGACCATTTCAAGGAGCAACAGCTGGGCCAAGAGCGGCCAAGGTTTTATTTGTTTATTCAGATTGTGTCCAGAACTTTTCAGATTTCTTCAAATTTTACCTAGACACATCCTGATCATCATCCAAGTACTGTCTTTGCATTCGCTGCTTGGCCACACTGAAATACTCGCAGGAGTCTTTCCTGTGGATTCCCAGTCTCGCTGGGCCTGTGGAAAGTGGAAGGACTGCCTAGTCATTGAAAAAGAAGTATAGACATGAGACGAGCGAGGCAAAATGGATCTTCAGAGGGAAAGCGAAGGTATCATAGATTATATACGTAACAATTATTTATATATATATATACATGTAAATTCAAAACAAAATTAACTGCTCCTGGTCGCTTCTTGCCCGACAGGCCTAGCTTGGATTGGCTACTCAAGACTCGCTACAGCGACCACTTCGAGCCTTTGGTCGGTTGGCAGGCCATAGTTAGCCATAGTCAGGGCCATGAAGCTACAGTTTCAAACCTTGGAACAAACATGGAAGCAACTTCTACTCAACTTCTGAGTCGATTCTCCGTCCCTTTGGACCAAATTCAAAGCACAGTAGGGGCGTTTGACTTGGTAAGAGGTTTCAACCTAGAAGCCGCAGGATGCGGGCTTCTATCTCATTCTTCCACTGCTTGTTTTCCTCCTGCAGTTCTTCTCAAACAGGACGAACGGCTCCGAGAAAGCAACGGCAGTGTCATCCCTATGGAAATAATAGGTTGCTGAACATGCTTGTGTCGCATCATGAAGAGATTCCTGCTGGATTCGATGATTCGGGAGAAGCCCCGGTCGGTCCTCGGACCCTAAACACCCGGCGCCCCAAGTGAAAGCACCCGAAACACGCGCCGACCGCCGCAGGATGAGCGCGGCTTCCAAAGAGACTGTGTCCGCGACTGCCCTGGCTCCATTGTTCATTGCAATCTCCACATTGGTCTCTCCTCAAGGTGTGGGGATCTATTGGTTTACCAACACCCTGTTGACAACTGTGCAGCTCAAGTTCACCCAGAACCAGGTGGCTGAGGAGTTTCCAGAGTACAAGAAAATCAAGGATGCTGTGGATGCAGAACAAGATGGCATGAGATACACGCGTAGCTCACCGTTCAAGAAAAACGAGCTGGTAGCCAAATCCGTTGAAGATTTGGAAGATCCCCCACAGAAGAAGGCAGCAAAGCCAAAGTCTCGAAATGCACGTCGGAAGAAGACAAAGGCTAGAAATCGGCAGAGAGCAGGGCAGGGGGAGGCTGTTTGACGACAATATCAACAATGACTATTTGAGTATGTTTTAGACTATTCAGTCTCAGAGTTGTTTTGGACCTCTCAATTTTCAAGAGGGGCCCTTGAGCAACTACAGTTTCACACTTCGCGGCATTGCTTAAATTTTAAAAGAGCAAGGATCTTGATGTGAAAGCTTTGCAATGCCACTCTAGGAGCGATCGGACGCTACTAGGGGCTCCTGGCCTTACTACTAGCAACAAGAAGCTAGTAGGGGCTCCTGACATCGCTACTAGGAGCAAGGACGCTAGTACTTTTGCTTCTTGTTTCGCAGTTGCTACAGAGTGCCCAAGAACTAGTCACTTCAGAGCAAGCCTGCCTGAGGCTGCTACTATGTGGAGAACAGATACTGGTGCCGAGGCCGGGAATGACGAAAGAAAAGAACGGCTCAAAGAACAGTGCTGGCAAGGACGGGTAAAGTTAATTGGGGAAGCGTGGGACACAGGCGGAGAAAGTGAAGAAACACAAACACACGCTTGCCCAAGAAACCGCTTTTGGTTGAAGCATGCTGATATCCAATTTGGAGTGTCCACACGCTCCCGCTGACATTGTTTGGGAGGTGCTGACCTTGGATAGCCCCAGCTGCCAGGCAATGTTCTGCTGCCAAGCCTTCTCAATCACCAAGCAAAGGTTGCAACAGTGGTACATGTTCATGCTGTTTATGCTCGGTAGTGCTTCCAACAGTGCTTTGGATGTTTGATTGTACAAGCAATTTGCACCAACCGCAATCTGCTGGTTGCACAGGTTCCTTCACAGGCTGACGCCGAATTGAGAGGCTCGATCACTCAGAGAGGACTCACAACTGCCTCGATATGCCTCGATGCCCGAGGAACTCCCACGCCAAGGATGCCAAATAGATTGACCGTCATTGCCATGCAGGCCATGCCTGGTAGTCGCTGTATAGATATGTGTAGAATTGTGTAGATATGTGTAGATGTGGGAAACCAATGACACTGTTCCAAGCCTGCTGAAGCATTGCACATCAAAATGCCTTTTGGTGTTGACCGTCCAGGAAGCCTCCGAAAGGAGGAAATCAAAAGTAAAGAGTGCCATCACAGCAATCACGAGCTGTGAAAAGTTACTGTTTGCCTCAGAGTTGTTCAATACTTGGTTGTGTTTTTTGCACCTGTACTGTATGTACATGGGTTCTTGCATTTTCTGAACGCCACTAGAACCCAAGGTATGCGACGAGCATATAGCCACTTGCATGCCATGCTCGAGGCGTTGAAGTTGACAGTCGACTAGATCACATGCTGACAGTGTGCTACAACTTGATCAAGAACACTCAGTCTACGGAGTTGTGTTTATGCAGACTTTGTTCTTGTCCCGGGGATGCCCTTGGCAGGAAGACTTGGACTCGCAGAGGCAAAGAATACGAGAACAATTCAAGGCGCGTCCACCGCGCGGCGTGATATGACTCGCACGGGCATCGAACAATCGCGGTGTGCGCCAATGCGCTTGTTCCGCTTGGCGGGTTGGTCTTGAGTAGTTTCTTGGAATCGGATTGCGAGGCCAGGCTGTTGGAAAGAGCCCAGAGGCTTGAGCCTCTGAAGAAACAGTTGCTTGGCATTGGAAATGTAGAGCAGTACAGGGACACCACTCAAGGCATTTGTTGATCTATTTATGTTCATTTAGCCTTTTTGGGTGGCAAAGGGTCTTCAAGTCTTCCAATGTATTTGATTATTTCACGTGGTAGTTGGGGACTTACCACATTTCTCGTGCTTTGTTGCACGGTATCCTCAGGCTATCGATGCTTGACGAAGAAGTGTGAAAGCCTGCAGGGACAAACCAGCATCGCGGTCATTGACAGCACCTGTGTTCAAGACACACAAGCCTAAAGAAGCCTGCACATCCTCCTTGCTGCAGCTGCATCTTACTCAAAACATGAAACAATGCAGACAACCACCATCCCAACATTATGTGGCCAAGAAGCTAAGCACTGCTGCTCACTTTATATATATGTGTACATATAGCTATATATATATGTATATTGCTAGAGATTATCTTGAGGGTTTTTGCGGTTTAAGTCACCTCGAGAACATCAGTTTCACTCCGCAGTGGCAGCCGATTGCCACCCCGCGTAAAAAAAGTTTCAGTGTTGCACTTCTCAAATGTTCACTTCTTCGTTCCATTGTTGGCTTTGCGTGTTTCCTGTTTGGTGTGGCCACATGTGGCCACCATGCAGATGACATTGATGCAGAGAGTACATCACTCAACTTTGATTGCGTTTGAGACCTTCTACCCTCAAAATGTTGCCTTGGCTGACCAAATTGTTGCATCCATAGCCATTTTCAAGCCGCAAGTTTGAGCCACTTAGAATTTTCCCTTTTCTGCTCCGCGCGAAGCGATGGGAGCACAACTTCAGGTCTGCCAAGAGGGAGCTTATGGGTCCCAAAAGACATCAATAGACTAGAAGAACTCCATGTCCATTCTCATTGAGCTTCACAGTCTGAGAGCGCGCTTCCAACAAGGGTGTGGATATCTATGATTCTTGTATACACATACACATACATATACATACCTATTTGTGTGTGTGCATCATCTAACATCTAATAGAACTATTACCTACATAACTATCACTCAGGGTATTTTTGAATCTGAGTCGAGGCTTGTGGCCGCATTTGCTGGCGTGACCCTCCACGTGATGCTCGCACCACCCACAGCTCCAAAGGCTGCTGGGCCACTTGGCGACGAAACACGGCTCCGCTCGTTCACCGCTTTCGCCGTTGACCGCGTGTTCGCCTCAGGAGGACGAATGGGCAAAAAGCCGGGTGAAAGGAACACCGATTTCAGATGAAGGCTTCATTTGTATGGGAAGCAAAGCTCCCATTTGCCCAACATCCGCAGCAATCGTTCGAGAAGGCTGGAGTAGTTCAAGCAGTTTGCTCTCAGAGCAAGAATATCGTGACGCAGGCCCCATCAACCTGTCAGTGCTTCAAGGATCATGGCTCGGATCTGGAGGTGGGAAGATGTGGCCACGCGTTTTCACAGCAGATTCACTATTGTCTAACAACGTGTTGCACATCTTGGCACTTCTCTTCCTTAGAAGTGCCACATCCTGAGGTGCTAAGATCACAGTAACTGGCACTGAAGTTAGCATCAATGGCCTGCCATTGAAGGCCGGCGTTGTCGCAATTTCGGGTCAGAGCATGTTATCACAAACGAGCCTTCACAAGCCCAATGAGGGCTTCAAAATGGTTCAACACTTTTGAGGGGTGTGGGACGGAGTTTGCAATTCCATTGGGTTCTGCCAGGCTCACAAGGTAGAGCTGAACGATGATGGCTTAGTGGTGAGCATTGGCAAACTCTGGCAGTTGCAGGCAAGCTTGCTGACGACTGTGGTTGGTTTGTTCGTCATCGAGTTAAGAATAGTTAAGACATGTAAAAGTATTGTTTTCAGTGCTGCTTTAGGGATGGGCTTCCAATGGTGCTATCGAGTTTCGAGCATCATCCACACGGGAAAACATGGAGACCCGTCCTCAGCAATGCCATGCCATGCAGCTCTTTTCTTGAGTTTCTTTCAAGGTCGGCTCGATCTGAGATATGGACTCCGGCGCCACTTGCAACTTCAGAGCAGATGTCCCCGACACAGTTCTTTAAAAGTTAGCACGTTCATGCTGCTTGGTGCGGACGGTTGAAGCAATGCACTAGCCACGCAAGCCATGCAAGGAAGCGATGCAAAGCAAATTGACGTGACCTCAGGTCAGAAAAGCTCAAGTTGCTGGGTTATGCAGGGAGTGCTGCGGCTTGGATGCGTTTCTCATCCACTGCTTGGAGCCCCTCAAAAAAACAGTAATCATTGTGTGGTTCTGCTTACGTGTGCTCACTCTGCAAGGATCTACTGTAAATAATGTACCAAGCGAATGTATAGAGTTTACAATATGTTATATACTACCTCTCGCACATCGGTCCAAGTCGATGTCATGCCGGACACTCTGGTCCGAACATGTTCAGTTTACAATATGTTACTGTACAATAATTATGCTGGTCAGTGATCATATATGTAGGCGGAAACTCATTGCCAGTATTTGTGAACTTGTGCACTGACAATGTGGCGCAGGCAAATCCTTTGGCTCGCGGGGTGGAAGGTTGTATGCCAGGCACCACTGGTGCAGAAATGGGATACAACGCGAAGAAGGATGCAGAAGAGGCGCAGGGCCAAAAGCTTGAGGAAACACGACGCTACTCTGACACGTACTAAATTTACACGTGTCCCCTTTTTCTGAGCCTTGCAGGTGTCACTTCTTTGTGCACTTGTGAGTCAATGGCGTGAGTCCGGCCCATGGCGACATGACGTGGCGCAGAATAATGGATTCAGAGGGGTCCACAGTCTCTTAGATTTAGATAATTTATTGGATGTTCATAGGATTTGGAACCATCACTTGCTTCCGGGGTCAATTATCCATGCAGCGATCTTCACATATCTTCACGGTGTGACCGAAGAAATGTGTAAGGCCCGAGACCTGCAAGGTTTGCCCTAGACTCGTCATTCCGGACTTCACCAACCGATGCTTGGCCAACGAAGAACGATCAGACGATCTAACTCCTTCACCTTGCAGTAGAAGATGAAACACAGGTCACAGAAAAAAAATAAACATATGAGATATGTAGGAACAACCGAATGATAGGGCGATAGAGAGGATTTCGAATCAGAGAGGAGACCTGAAAGATCTGAAGGTTTTCTGGACGAACCGCAATGGCCTCCACCGAGGATCACAAACAGGCCTTGGTGTCGAGTTGCTTCACTACGTGGCGACGTCCATTAGGCCGTGCCGTGTCGCCGTGTCCGCCGTGGGTGCCGTAGGTGTTTGGTGTTGTGTGGCATCGTGTGGCCAGGCAGAAGGGCTTTCAGAAGCGATCGCGGCGGCAAGGTCCGGTGTGGAACGAGCCAGCGATCAGATGCAACGAAGAGTGTAGAGTTGGAGTGAAGAAGACTAAGAATCTGAGGTCATGACATCCCGGTCTTGGTGCGAGAACCTGCTGGGTCAGATTCCAAGGAGAATCAGTTCACTCGATTAAGCAAGTCTAGTGCACTGCTTGGGCATGGTGGCATGGCTGCGAGAGTTTTGTAGGAGGAAGCCTTGAAGGTTTGGCGGGGTCGTGTGGCAGAAGAGGAGGACTCCCTGACCCTGTCAGAGTGTCAGTATGCTCAGGATACTTCTTTATGATTAATGATTCTTTGTGTTCTTTAAGCTATGCTTCAGTTTCTTTCAGTCTCACTCATCAAAGACCAGATCATCCTTCGGCCTTCACGTGCAGGGGTTTCCTCCTGTGCGAGTTCGAGATGACGAAGAGATTTTCACTTCATTGGGGAATGGCCATTTTTTTTCAGGCATCCGTTGCAGGATGTGTCCCTCTTTGTTTTTTGCAGCCCTGAAATCCTCTTTTGATCGCCAGGCATTGAATCTCTTCGACACCCAGTGGAAGGCCATCAACGAAGATACTAACTATGCAGTCGGATCAGATATCCAGCTTCAGGAAGCTCTCAACCAAGGAATCCGGTGGTTGCAGTTCAAATTGAAGAAGGCTAAAGCATGCTAAGCCAGAGCCATATATAAACTGTCGTTTGAAAGAATACCTCACAGAAACCATGCGCGACCAGGAGTTGTCAGTGTGATTCTTCGCCACTCGACCCCTCGTCCAGTCCGAGCAAAGATTGCCGACTTGCTGAATGCCAAACGGGAGCGCCTTGGCAAATCTTGGCAAAGTCCCGGGAATGGTGTCGTTGGCTCGTCGATGAAATAGACCACTGAACGATCCTTTTGTTGGTTTCTTTTGGGGGACGTTTGTTTATGTTGTTCTTACAGTACCTTTTTCTTTCTGTATCCTTTCTTTATGTTGTGCGTGTGTTGCTTCTTTGCCTCTTTGCTTGTCATTTCAGAACTCTAGGCAGGCTGTCACTTGTCCGGCTGTGAGGTTCATGTGGACTCTGGATGAAGATGGTACCGTGGACACTGGAAACTCGATCGAAAACACTGACTACTGCTCTCACTTCGAATGGCTGAGCAAGGGCATGGACGCAGAACAGGTCAACTGCTTGGTCCGAACGCACTTGGGCATCAAAGACAGCAAGCGCATTCTGGGCTGAGAAGAAACGGCGAGCGGCTCCGTGAGTTCAGGGTTGGTTGGGTTTGTGGTGGGGTCACTGGTGCCAACGACCCCAGGCCGATCTGTCCGTGTGCCTGCTGTGCTAGGTTTGCCGAGGGCGGCTGTGTCGTAATTATCTCCGCTGAGACTTGCCCTCAGGTCCGGATGGATTTTTGTTAATGCTATCACTGGTGCCGGCGAGTTGGCTGGATCGAACTTGAACCGAACCTTCAGAGTGTAAGTACTCTGGGAACAAGCAAGTGAAGAGAATCTGAAGAGAAAAGCAGAAGCAAGAGTAAGCAAGGGGGCAAGGAAGAAATGAGGAGAAGAACAGATTGAGATCTAAGAACTTCCGAAACGTGAGTAAGGGACACAGGCCCACAAACCATTTGTTCTCCAAGAGGGGACGGGGCTGAGGGATACCTTGGACTTTGGACTTCCGAGACTCCGAAGCAGATCCAGGTCACACTAAGACATGCTTTACAAGCTGTGTGGTCCAACTCCGTTGCGCCCAAAACCGCGAAAGGTGGCCGAGGATTCAGCACAACAATTGTGCATTTCAGATTGCCATTTTGGATTCAGCTCAAGACGGATCTAGCTTTAGCCAGCCAGATTTGCGACAGGCATACAAAAAAGTGTGGATCAGCTTTCACGAGTTGCAGCTCTCTTGCGCAGCCCGCGCTTTAGACGGGCAAGTGAGCCAGTTGACGTTTCACGTCAGACCATTCCAGCCATGAGGACGAGTATCGTGTCCTTTGGACCCCCATCCGTTAGCAACCAGTCATGGATTCACCATTTAGATATTATGTCACAAGTATTCATATGCTTAGGCTTAAACTGTCCAGTTTTGTATTTGCATTTGGTTTCACTGCATGGACTGCGTGTTTTCCAATTTTGCCTAAGGCAGCAGTATGGGCTTGGGCGAGGTGGAGACAGAGGGTCTTCATTCAAAGCTTCATGAATTGCATCAGCTGATCGAGAGAAGATTTCGGCAACACGCCAAGCTTTTGAGAATGGAGATTCGTCGTTCACAACGAAAGAGTGCCACTTTGCCCATCCTCGAGATGGACGATGTTTCGGAAAAAGCGGACGAGGAGAGGTCAGAAGAGTCCGAAGTGGAAGGGGATGAGAAGGGAGATGAGATGGACCACAGCGGTGAAACTGGCATTCTGCGGAGTCCCGATAGGACTCCTCCTCCCTCGCCACCTGTGCCCTTGTTGGAACCTCTCCCGCCTAGTCCCGGCACTCCAAGCCGTGACTCACATGTATCTCAAAGCTCAGCTCGAGCCGGCAAGACTCGCTTTGGCCTTCGGTTGAGTAGTAGTAGTGCAATCAGTGGAATCAGCGGAAAGAGCATGAAAAGCAACCGTAGCCGTTCAGGGATTTCTGGAGCCTCAGATCAGACTGCCCAATCATCCCGAACTGACCAAAGTTCGCCCGATTCCTTCATCCTGGGTGCGTGGAATGAGAAACACCTGGCACAGGCTAAAATTGCAGGAATGTGGATGGCTCGGCGCAGAGCTACCTCATACACAGAGATTGAAGAGTCATGTTTGTCTTCCTACTGCAGGGAATTCATTGATTCTAGCATTTTTACCTATGTCATCACGCTGATGATATTCCTCCATGTCATCCTCATGGGGATAGAAGCCGACTTATACAAGGAACATAATGGTGCTGAAGGCATTCCATCATGGATCGGTATTTCAAATTTGGTCTTGACGAGCTTCTTTCTCTGTGAGCTGCTGCTGAAGTTCATTGCCCTGGGTTGCCGAGAATTCTGGTGTGGCAGGGACTGGGCCTGGAACGGCTTCGATGCAGCCGTGATCTCCTTGTCCGTGGTGGATGTGGTTCTGGCCTTGTGGTTCACCACGGCAGCTGGAACTGGCCAAGTGAGGGTCTTCCGGATGATCCGTATCTTGCGATATTTGCGAAGTATTCGAGTGGTCCGGCTCTTCCGATACATCAGTGCATTGCAGGTGTTGACCTTGTCGATCATTGGGACAATGAGCTCGTCACTTTGGATGTATGTTGGTGAGTATGAGAGCATGTCGGGATTCAGTCGAAACGTTTTAGGCCCGAACTTTGCTTCCATCCGGCTATTTCAGCACTTGCATGTCTAGCCAGGAACCGATTCCAAACCCAGGGGTCCTTTGGGAGTGCTGTTTTCACAGCTGAGGTTAGCCTGGACATTGCTGCTGTTGATTCTGATCATATATAGCTACTCTGTAGTGCTGACGGAGCTCGTAGTCGAAGTCTGTGTGGAGAACTCCGAATGCCCACAGGTGTTTACCAGCGTTGCAGACAGACGCTTGGTTGGATTCACAGTGATAAGTCTTTAGCGGCCCTCACTTGAGAGGGCGGAGGTGGGCGGGAGAGAGCTAGTGTCTCAAGCAGGTTTACGTGGCCAATCCTAGAGTGGTGCGCTACAGTCACAAGCCCGTGAACGATTCCTCGTTCTGAATCGCAGAGAATTTGCTTTGTCCCTCGTGACGCCCCATACAAATCATACAAGAGTTGATGGCTAGGTGCATTTTTGTGTTGATGCCTCACGTGAAGCTCATGTGGTGGTTGATCGCCGTCCATGCTTCCTTTGAGGCATGCTGACGCTCTTCATGGCCATCTCACAAGGCTCAGGGCGGGTTCGATTCGATCGTCGGTTAGCCGGGTCAGTTCCTTAAGTTATTCGTTTCGATTCAACTCGTTTCGGTTTCCGGTTTGCTTGCGTTTTGGTATCGGTTCAGAATGGATGCTATCCGTTCATTGCAGTCCCTAGGCCCTAGGGTCCCTAAAGTCAACTGTGAGCTTCAGAGTGCGAAGAATGCAGCTGTGCCAAGTGCTGCACAAGCTGGAATAAGAGGTGGCAGGCGAGAAAGAAAGTTTCCAAAGTGGCGTTCAGAGCTTGAAAACTGGGTTTGATTGGGGGATGTTTGGGAGCCAAGTCTCAAAATGGCATTGGCCAAGGGGCGAGGAGATTGACAATGGCTGCAACACCCCAACCGTTCGGGCCTAACGCATCGAAAAAGCCGCTGTCCCAAGCTCCGGGAAACCGTCTGCTGGGTGCTCTTGGGGTGGCCAGCGCCCAACGCAAGACGACGGACACAGTCCCATGGAGTGGAAGGGATGGAAGAAGTTCACTGGGTTTGGGGGCCACAGCGCGAGGTGAGGATTCCCGTTTTAGTCGATTCCTTAAATCCTCTTCCGGGTTCTGTTCCGATTCCTTTCCAATCCCTGCTTCGCTTCGGGACGGGAGGCTTGAACTGGGAAGATCTGGTCAATCCATTGCGGCAAGTCTCCGGATTGGCGGTGGTCCTTGTGATGAGCTATATCACTCTGACGATTTTTGCGATTCTCAATGCAACTCAGACGCAACGCACAAACCGGACCAAACCGTTAATTCGGTTCTAAGTACTCGAAGTTGTTCCTTTTGTGATGTTTGTGTTTGCTTGATTAAGACATAGTTTTGTCGCGTTTCGCTGTTACCAGCATTATCATTTGCGCAGGCCCCCTGTCCACCAAAGGGACCTGCCCTAAAAGACCAATGACATGAAGGGCCAAAAACGCCATACCCCGGTGGTGCACTGCACCCGTGGACGGGTTGGCCCTACAATACTAGATGATTCCAATTGTGTGCGTGCGCGTGTTCCACAACATTCACCCGTTGTGTCATCTGCGCAACAATGTTGGCACTCATTGGCCATTTTGGGGCCAGAATCAAACATCACCGTGTAAGAGGACCACAAACTGCATGTGAATTGCTTCTATGCATGTTGCACATGTTGCGGACAACGGTAAGAAATTGCACATGACCTATTGAAAACAGGCGGACACGGCACCTCAGATCTTTTGAGTCTCATTCCAAAAACAGGCAGGGGTTGCAATCCGATACCATCCGATACCTTGTTTTGGGATTGTTTTGGTGTACTTTTGGTGACATCCCATTGATCAATCCACTTTGATATCCATGTGACATGTGTTTTCTTTTCAAGTCAACGGTTCAACATGGCGCTGCAGGTAGTAACGGGAGTGTTTCTCGGCAAGCATTCTTCAACACGTTTATGTTTTTGGATTCCCTATTTTCTTCCGAAAGGTGTTAAGACTTTTTGACGTTCAATCCTGGGGGTCTTTGACAGGTTTTGCAACACCGCAATAGAGAGCGCGGGAGCTGACAAAGATGTGCGAACTTTGAAGCAAATCCAGGCCAAATCGCAACAGGCACATTTGGATCACACGATACAAACGGCACAAACTGGCCAATCGTGGTTCAGCTTTTCCATGCATCAGCTTGGCCTGGCGTTGGTTGATGGAGGTCACTTCTTTGTGAATCAGCCCAATTGTTGCAGCAGAGGGCGTTGCGTCCAAACTGTCCAAGAATAAAGGTGCAAGCCTAGAGAGACTCCAACACTTGGTTGTTCAATTGTGTGAGGCTAGGGGTGCGTGTTTGATGGGGACACTGCAATGTAGGACAAGAGGCTTCGGTTTGCTGCCATGTTGTGCACCCCATCACATCGCATGAAAGCTAGCTAAGCAACATTAAGCAACTTTGTATGAGTTGAAATTGAATTCAAGCATGCAACTCATGCTCAATACCCTTTCATTGTTCGAGACGCGTCCCACATTTTGGAAAGCTCGAAGCTTCCTGGGGAATCGTTTCACTGGGAAGAGCCCTTTCCTAGAAGTACAGTCCCTGCTCAATACCCTTTAACCTTGGAATTTGAGCCGTCTCCCTTGGCGATCCCTTCGGAATACCGTGATTTCGCAGAATGGCTGCTAGTTTGCAGAACCCCCAATCGATTGCGCCAGGTGGAGCTTTTGAAAAGTGTATTCCAAGAGATTGACTTCGAGCAAGTGAATGAGATCAGCTTTATGGACAGGGTGTTGCGTTCAGGGTGCTTCACAAATTGTAATCTACATAGGAGCTGCAAGAATGTTTGGAAGGCTGAGGTCATTCATTGCTGTTGACGCTTGTTTGTCGAATCCAGTTGGCAGAAAGTAATGACAGCCATGTTTGCAAGGTCCCAGCGGTTTGCCGGAAAAGAGAATGTTCATTCGTGTTTGCCCACCTCTCGAAACTCATGCAGCATGCAATTGTACTGTATACTCCCCCGTTGGGGTAGGTGTGTAGGTGTGTGCTCCTTCCAGCTTCTATTTTTGTACATCTTCTGTTCAAGTGGCCACCAGCCGAAAAAGAAAGAACTTACTAAGAAGCTTCAAAGACATACTAAAAGCTTCTTCTTACTATAGATGAAACGATTCCCAAGGAAGCTTCTTGTTACTAGTAGCTTCTGGCCTCCAACCTACAAACGCGATGGCCTCCGGTTTTGAGGATATGAAGCGATGTTTGGCCAATGGCGATCTCGGGAGCTTTTTGGAGTCCATGAACATCTCCACCGACGATGTGTGGACCGATGCACGGGATTCAAAGGGCCTAAACAAGAACCGAAAAAGCTCCTAGTAGCGTTCTTGCTCCTAGTAGTACGGCCAGGAGCCCCTGGTAGCGTTCTTGCTCCTAGTAGTACGGCCAGGAGCCCCTAGTAGCGT